TGAACGTTTGGGCAGGTATTATAGAAGATCATATTATTGGTCCTATATTTGTAGATGGTAATTTGACAGCGGAAAATATTTAAGCATGCTAAGAGATGATGTTTTTCCTCAGTTGGCTAACTTATATCCCAATCCAATAGATCCGACCCTACCGCATGAAACTGTCTGGTTCCAACAGAACGGTGCAATGCCCCATTATGTTTTAATGGTGAGAAACTACTTGAATGAAATATTCAATAAATGGACTGCACGAAGAGGTACTATTGAGTGCTCAGCTAGGTCGCCAGATCTTACGCCATTGGATTTTTTTCTGTGGGGTTATCTCAAGAACAAAGTATATGCAACACAACCAACTAACATTGAAGATCTCAAAGAAAGGATAACTATATTAATACTAATGTACAGGAGATGAGTCAATACTCCCAATCTTAAGTAGTTTTTTTATTGTTGTTGAATTTTTAAGCTACCCGTTTCGAAGCTTACAATATATGCCCTATCATCAGGCCACAATACATAGGCCTTTGTTCTAACAAAAACTAGGAGCTAAAAACAACATGAATCAAACAATGAGCGCCTAATCCAAAACAAGAGTTAAAATCAAAATTAAATTAAATTAAGCCAACAACTATAACCTTAATTAAGTAATAGAGTTGATACTATCTATAATGATAATTAAATGAGAACTGTAAAATTAATTAAGTGAGAGAGACCACTGATGTCTCAATATAAAATATATTGAGACATCAGTGGCATTGGTTATAACCAGTCTGATGAAAACTGTACAATATGGTCAGTCATTAATTAGTTAATAGATATAGGGTTTGTAAATTTAGATTTAAAATAAAAAAGTTCAAAAATAAACCCATTATTCGCTCCGTGCGTGACCATGGTAGGGGTACAATGAAACGATGCCAGCGTACGTAGCGGCGAAATATGACAAAATTGGAATATTGGACAAAATATTTTTACGCATAAATTTTATCAAAAATGTATGCAAATACATGTTGCGTATTTAATTGTGCTAATAATAGCAAAAACAGTGAGTGTAGTTTTTATAGGTTCCCAAAGATTACATATAAATTAGAGAAAAGAAAAAGATGAATTCGTGCTATTAATATGAAAAAGTTGCAATTGAAATAGGAAAAATTTAAATAATTTACCTTGAATGATATTTGATAAGGCTTCAAGCTAACTGCAGATGACTTTAGCTTTTATATCATAACTTTTACTATTATTGTTTTAATTATATGCTCTTTTGCGTGAAAAACTTAATTTGCCAGTACTAGATTTTTCCCTTTCTTTTCCGTTTGGAGTTGAAAAGATATATTATGATGAATTTTGAGAAAACCAAGTTTTTAATACTACATTTATTTTGAACATAAACTGAAAAAATATAGTTAAAAAACTAATTTATTAAAAATTGTCAATTTCGCATGTATTTAACAATGTCAAACATATGTCATATGTTTAACCTGAAAATTGGGACCCCAAAATTGTCAGATGAAGGCGGTAGGTGTCGCGTCAGTCACGCATGGAGCGAATATGGAAGAGTTACTATTTACATATCAGACACAAGAAGGCTTTTCTAGTATAGATAATTCTGTAGCTCACCACCACCTCCAAGAGACTCATTTATTTATTTATATTATATCTGACTAAGCCATATGTATGTTAGGGAGTTTTTTTCTCCACTTATAAATTTAGTTATGGTTGCCTTTGTCAATTATAGTTATTGGAGTAAAATGTTTAATTGTTAAAATATAAGGACATCATAAACATTGAATTCACATCCACAATTTGCTAAAATATAATTTTTTCCAAGGGTTTTCTCATGTCACTATGTCATGTTTTGTAGGTTATGTGATCATTTCTTCCGCTACACTAATCTATGGTTGAGCAAAGTGTCTTCTCTCAAGGAAGTGGTGATTACATGCCCTTGACGTTGTAATTTATCCTTTAGTCTTTATAACATATTTTTCTTTTTAGACGTGTAATATCTTCATTGAGACAATTTAGCCTTTTTTCAATTTCTATGACTTCTCAGATAATTCTTGGTTTATAAAAGCGGATGATCGCCATGGTTTTTAAAATCAATTTTGTGACCTGTATGAAGATGATGTTGACCTAGAGCTGAAATTGAATCTAAATTGGGAACAGAAATGGAATGTTCGTAAATCCTATTTTGGATTCTGCGATGGAGGAGAAAACTTTTGTGCTAGTGAAGGATGGATTGACTTACGGAAGAAGAAATATGGCACCCGACAATTGAATATTTGTGGCGAAAAGCTTTCTTCTGACTCAACTGAAATTGGAACATTTTATTTAAAATTACAAGACATTTTCCTTAAAGATGGACTAACTTCAGACCAAATATTTAACTATGATGAGACAGGCTTTAACTTTAAAATGCTTCCATTGAAAACACTAGCTGCTAAAATGAAGAAACTGCAGCAGGTTACAAAAAAAGCAAAGGGAGAGTCACTATCATGATTTGCAACAATGCTTCTGGTTCATTAAAATTAAAACATCTTTTAATTGGCAAATCCAGAAATCCAAATAATCCAAAAATGTCCAAATAAATTGCTTACCTACAATCTATAGCAACCAACGCAATGAATGGATAGACTGTAACACTTTTAAGGACTGGTCTTTTAATGACTTCGTGCCAGTCATTGATGCCTACCTAATAAACAAAAATCTGCCCCGGAAAGCTTTGTTCTTGTTGGACAACGCACGATCCCACCCAGATGCGAGTAAATTGATTAGTGGTGACATACGAGCTGTGTTCCTTCCACCCAATGTCTCCCATCCAACCCCTAGACCAAGACGTTATAGAAGCAATCAAGAGGAATTATCGGCGGAAGCTTTTTCAGGTACTGCTAATTAAGCTGGATGAAGGCTGACTGTAATTGAGGCATTGAAGAAGCTCACGGTTAAAGATGTTTGCTATTGGATTGCATCTGCTTGGGATGACGTAAAAGTGTTCACTATTCAGAAGTCGTGGAAAAAATTATTTAAGATAGACAACAAAACACAAGAAGTTCAAAATGAAACTGATAACTGTGAAGTTGATTCTATAGCCAACCTAGCCAATCAATTACCAGTGGAACAAACAATCGGAAACCAAGACACCGTTGATTGGATGAATCTAAATGAAGAAATGGAACTAACAGATGATGCAATTGCCAATCTAGTTCTAAACGTCACCCATGAAGAAAAAAAAGATACAGATAAGATAACTCTAAAGATTTCTCATTTCGAAGGGTTGAAGTCCCTAGAAGCAGCTCTCGCATACATCGAGCAACAAGAAGAATCGACACCATTAAACGTCCTGTTTAGTTTTTTCGGTATCCGAGCTAGTCACGGTTCCAATTACCTCGGATAATCGCGAGTCTACTGTAGAATGTATACTAGAGACCGACCGATTAATCGGCTTCGGCTACCTTCGGCCAAAATTCGGCTTCGGCCAAAACAAAGCCGAAGGTGGAAAAAAAATACGCTTCGGGGAGTCTTTGATAATTTGAATAATATTTACACCCTATTTTATACCCTTAACTAAAACGTTTTACAAACTTTCAAGTCAGGTAGTAGGTAGGATACAAATTTAAACAATAGGCCAAGATGTCTCAAAGATCTTCATTTGAATATTTCTCACGTAGTAAAATTCTGATAATAGATGGAATAGCACTTACCTAATGTTGGAGTGGCTATTCGAACAGAAAGTTGCAATAAATTTTTATATGGCTGAACGTGGTGGTATTGAAGTTCCCAGTTCAACAGAATGGGAATTGATCAACAATTTAATTTCAGTTTTAACTTGTTTTTACCCAGCGACGCTAGATCTTTCAGTCAATTCTGCTTGCGTATCATTAGTTATCCCACTAATAAACATGCTAAATGGTAAAGTTTCTGCAAAAGATCAGGACTCTGAGGAGATAAGTTTATTAAAGCTACGACTTCGCGATTCATTAATTAAAAGATTCGCTAATATTACAAAGTTGCCAGAATTGTCAACTGCGACTCTTCTAGATCCTCGCTTTAAATCAAAATATTTGACAGACGAGGAAGTAATTACATGTAAAGCAAGTATTTTAAAATTGTTACGTGAATCTGATAGCTCTAAGTTTAGTTATACAAATAAAGTCCCTACGGCTATCGCTTCAACATCATCATCTACAGCTACACATGTAGTAGATCTAGAAAACAATAGTCTTTGGAATTCACAGGATATTTTTGTCACTAATTGTCACGCTCACAGAAGAACTAGTTAGGAGAAAACGCTGACAAGTTTTTTGTCTGACCTATAATATTAGGATGTTTGATTTCTAATATTAGCTACCAGATCCAGTAATCAGTAATACTCACTTGCTTCAATGTTTTTTAATGTTATTTCTTTTTATTATCGCTCCTATTACCAAATAATGTATAAATGTTTGACTTTTTATCTCATAATTTCATATTTTTGTTTATCACTTATCAGTTAATAAAAATATAATGCAAATTATTTAAATTATTAACATATAATAGGTATATTTTTAGTCACCTTCGGCTTCGGCCGAAGGTATCCTACAGGCCGAACTTCGGCATCGGCTTCGGCCAAAAAAATCACATTCGATCGGTCTCTAATGTATACCTAATTAAAAAAAAGAAACTTTTACCTTGCATAATTTTTGTATCTCTCGAATTGTATGCGAAAATATGGTCACAAAAAGTAAAAATTTTCGACATTTCCAGAATTTGCTAAATAAAAAATTGAGCACAAAGTTTGCAACTGGCGCATATCGTGATTACTAATACAAGGCACAATTTGAAGTGACTCCAGAAAAACATGACTCCTATGATAAATGTCCAATTTAGAACAGATCCCGTTTGGACTATACAGTATCTTGAAAACAAGAGTATGGGGATAAAGTAAATAATTTCTTTAAATTCTTTAAAAGTCTTAAACCTAAGCTTACAAGATTAAAACATAATTTTTAAACGGAAAAGTTATTACTCACCTGACTTTCGTAGTCGCACCCATCTGCATCAGACTGTTCCACAGCTCCGGCCTCCAGTAGAAGCTTTAACACTTTTTGATCGGTGGGCAGAAAAGCTCCGAAATTTACTCCCGCCATTTCGTTACCTTCTAACAGACACTCCTCTACGTTACAGCCGCTGTTGATAAGCCAAAGAACCGTCAATGTGTGATTATCTAACGCACTTTTAGTCGCGTCTTGGGACGTGCTCAAGCTCAAGTCGTTTTGAAGAGCGTTATTCTCGATGCTTTGAGCCATATCTTTACCCTTGGGATGGTGTTTGCCCTTTTTACTCTTGTTGATCTCGGCGTAGATAGGATTTTTGTCGGAAACGGGGCTTTTAATGTTTATATTTTCGTATTTCTGTTCCAGTTTATTTAAACTTAAGTCTAAATTGAATTGACAATCATCTAAGTTGTTTTGGCTAGCTTCAGTTTCTACGAAGCTCGTTTCTAAATTATCTGCATCAAGATTCAACTCTCGTTCGTAATTTTTCGTTAATTCTTGTAAAGCTTTCAAATCTGAATATATTTCAGTAGACGTTTTTTCTAAACTATTATCGCCCTGAGAAATTGCATTGTTTTTTTCTTGTGTCAATTTACACATGAGAGTGGGGCACTTTTGATTAGGTTTTTCCGATAAATACTGCTCCATCCTCGTCAAATGAAAGGCATAGTCGTAAATTTCTTGATTGTTCAAGACTTTGGCATGCAAGGTGTAGTACATCGCTAGTATACAATGCCCGTGAAAAATGTTACATAAATACTTTTGAGTACAATGTTTGATATCTAATAGCCACTCCGCAAATGAATGGTGGAATAATCTTATTGTACCTCCTTTTGATACTACGACAACTCTTCTCAACAAATGATACCTCTTTTTGAAATCTTCCGAAGTTACTTTAGGGTTATAGACTTTTATGATGTCGTACAGAAGCGCGTCGTTTAATGCACACTTAGCCGCTAAAATGACGTTCAATAGTGGTTGAACTTTCGCGAATTGTCGTCTATTAAATAGCCTCTGACACAGCCATAGATAAAGTCCATTTAACGTACCGGGTATTTCCCTCACTTCCCTTAGAACAATAAAACTATCGGAGACGCCATCTAGTACTTTCTCTAGATAAAGAAAGCAACCGTTGCTTTTAATGTGTAGTTGATTGAGCATTTCTGCAGTATCTCGACTAATGTGTTGTCTAAGGCTATTCTCCTGGTCTAGTCGAGCTAAAATATACTGTTGAACATCACGAACAACCTGAGATTTTCGTAAATCATCCAGACTAAGTTTCCTGAAACCCGTGAACATTTTCGCGATACTTTTAGATTGTTTCCTAGCCGTACACACTAACAACAACCACTGAGGAAATAGATGGTGATGGTTGGCCAACAATTCAGCGATCGTCTTGCTCTGAGACGACCTTTCGCGTGGTTTACACCTCGTAAGAGTAGAATTTGAGTACACAAAGGAATGTTCGTCTATAGAGTCTATAAGAATAAATAGGGACGTTTTAGGAGGGTCTATTTCGAGCAGGGGAAATAATAGTGCTCTTTTAAGGCAGTCGTCTGGGTTGAGCTCAATGTTTTTGGCTCTAAGAGCTATCTGGATTTCAGGATCCGATTTTAGCTTCTCTAAATACGCGTCGGCGATGACAGTTCGTGGATTTATAGGTAGACTCGGTATAGGTGGAGTTTCATGAGATTTTTTAGATTCTAACGAAGGCGAGAGCAGATTTTCCGAATAAACATTACTATATAGATTTTCAGGAGGTAAACTACAATTATCCGATAGGTTCTGCTCATAGGAAATATTCTTAACAAGTTTGGGACTCAGAGACTTGCCAGCTTCGTCAGTTTTCTGTGCTTCCTGGGCTATTCTACGTCGTATGCTGCGCTCCCTGTGGCTTTCTGTGGAATGATTCAGAATTTGAGTTACTAGAGATCGTACGAATTCGCTCAACGATAAACTCTTCTCGTTGTGACCTTGAAGGAAGTGGTAACATAGTAGGCGTCTATTTAAGGCCCTTTGTTGCCTGCTAGCCGGTCCTTGAGACGGCCAGCAAAGTTCGGAACAAAATGTCGTTTTCCCACACCCAGGGCCTCCGAGAAGTAGAGCCCCACACGTCTTAGACACTGGTCGTTGGTCCAAGCAGTGCGCCAACTTTTGAAACGCCCATTCTCTGCAATAAAATTTCTTCTTGTCCTCTTGAGTCGCCATTTCTAGAAGTAGTCCAGAAAAATATATTTACTTAATGTTATTTGTCTCTAATAGGACGTTGGGTTCAATCTTTTTCTTTTTTTGTACAGTCTTAACGTTTCTGTTACGTATTTCATGAAAAATAACAGATAGGTGTTTAACAAACTACATTTTTTTAGATCAACTTTTCATCTACTAGCGCATACTTTGTTAAATTTTGTAATTTGACTTCCGTTCTTTGGAAATGTTGCCATGATCGGTTCGATATTGAATTTGATCTGAAACAAGAAAATTATATTTAGACACATTACCAGACAAAACCCATTAAAGCTCATTATTATACATGATAATTTTAAACTTAATTTGTGTTAGTAAAGTTAACTTAGGATTTAGCAAGAAAAGTAAAAATTACTATTTATGACTAAAAATGGAAAACTTAAAGCTTTAATACTTTCTATGATGAGTTAAATAGACTTAAATAATAATAATAATTAATAATAAACAATTTTCGAAGCACCTTTTTCAGCACGAACAAGGTACTTACAAAACTTGAGTTTTAAAAGAATTAACCACTTGTTCAGGCGTCGACGAATGTTGATATGTAAAAATAAAAGAAATTGTTTTGTGCCAAATCAGTTCTTAATAGCAGACAACCCATCATGGTCTCCTCAAAATATCACTTGGTAGTGAAGTAGTGGTATGTTGGCAATCATTTTAACACTGACAATTGTTGCTGCTTTGAATAGTGCGGTGGTGGCTATTGAAAAATACCAGATCCTCAATTTTTGGACCTCCACGCAAAATGCGTTTCAGTAACTTTTACTATGGCTTATTTCTCATAATATGTTCTACATATTCCTATCTACCTAGCTATATACGGATTTTTACTGCTGTCGCCGCCTTCCTTCTTTCAGCCAACGTCTCCAGTCCTTTCTGTTCTGTCATTCTCCATCTCTAAGGTCTCGTCTTTCCATGGCCTCGTCCACTTCATCCCTCCATGATCTTCGGGGTCTACCTCTTTTCCTCCTTCTTATTGGGCTCCAATCCGAAATCTTTGTTATCCATCTTGTATGATCTGTTCTTCTAACATGTCCATACCAAATTAAACGTTTTTCTTCGATGTAGCTGAGTATATCTTAATCTACTACCATTCTTCGTTTTATGTCCTCATTTCTGATGCAATCTATTTTTGTCACTCTGCAGCTTTTTCTCATGAACTCCATTTCAATTGCTGTGATTTTGGACTTGTTTCGTTTATTTATTACCCAATTCTTTGCTCCATAGGTCATTATACTGCGTACCAAGGTGTTATAAATTCTCTTCTTTGTATTTCTGGTAATCTGTCTATCCCACAGTACCCCGTTCATTTGTTTAATACATGTTCTTGTCTGTGCTAATCTGCTGGTTATCGCTTGCTCGGATGTTCCATTTTTTATGAATCCTAAATATTTGAATTTTTCAGTGCCGTTAATTTACCTATTATCGTCCATTTCCAAGTTTCTCACTGGTTCTTGCTCTGTTGTTAAATATTCGGTCCTTTCTAGGTTTATTTCCAGTCCATTTTTTTGTGTATTCCTTTTCTAATTTTCAGAGCATATAGCACAGATCTTCTTCATCTTGAGCCGTTACCACTTGGTCATCTGCAAAGCTTAATGTGTACAAGAAGTTGTCCCGGATTGGTATTCCCATCCCTTCACATTTACGTTTCCATGGTTTTAATATTTGTTCGAGGAATATCTTGAATAGTGTCGGAGATGTAGAGCATCCCTGCAATAAGCCTTTTGTGGTCTTAAATTTGTTGGACTATTTATTGCCGGTTTTAACGCTTACCTTGTTGTTGTAAAGGTTTTTACGGCTTCCATTAACCTCTGAGTTATTCCGATTTCCTTCATGGTGTTCCTTAGTTGTTTTCTGGGAACCGTGTGATATGCCTTTTTTAAATCTATGAATGCCATGTGTACTGGTCTATTTTTGCCATTTTTTTTTTCAATTAATTGTTGAAGTGTATACTTATATGTGGTCTATGCAAGATCTTCCTGCTGTGAACCCCGCCTGATCTTCTCCGATTTTATTTGAGATAGATTTTTCCAGTTTTTCTTTCAGTATTTTTCCATATAACCTACCCATACACGCTATCACACTGATGCCTCTGTAGTTCCCGTATTTCGTCTTATCTCCCTTTTTATAGGTTATATGCTTTGGACCATTCATCTGGTATTTTGTTCAGCTTCATTCTGATTTTGTTGTTGTTCCTGTTCTGTGTCTGTCTCTATGAAATCTGGGCGGTTTTCTGTGAGTAGTTCTTTATAGTAGTCTTCCCACTCTTTTTCTGATATGTATTGTATTTGGACGTTTTCATTGTTATTTTTCCTTAAAGATTTCAGTATTTTCCAGGATTCCGCATTCCTTGTTCCTCCTATGTATTGTTCAATTTGTGCACATGTTTCTTCCCATTCTTCATTCGTTTCTTTTGCCCTTCTTCGTTTTACTTCTCTGTTTTTCTCTTTGTACTTCTGTGTGTCTTCTGGGGATTGAGTGCTCATACTTTTCATAAATAGAATTTTCTTCTCCTCAATACATTTTTTGGTTTCTTTGTTTATTTTTACTTTGTGTTGCGTATTTCTTTTCTTAAGATTCCCCAAAGTTTCTAATGGCGCCTGTGTTTGTCGTGCTCGTACGTTTCTTTGACGTTTCTGAAACCGAAATCCTGTAACTTCTGGTCCAGTCTTCTCTGGTATAGGTCCCTTATGGATTCCTCTTGAAGTAAATTTATGTTGAACTTCGTTTCTTCTTCTTTCTGTTCATTTTCTACTTGTCTTCTTCGTGTTGTTTCTTCCTTCTAGTTTGGGTGTTCAACATGTAGGGAAACCCATTTGTGAAATTATTAATTGGTGGTCAGTGCCACATTCGGCTCCTCTCTTTACTTGTGTATCTCTAATTTTGATAGTACTACTTTTGCTGACAATTATGTAATCGATAATGGATCTGATGATTCTCGTTGTTTGTACATATGTGTATTTATGTATGTCCTTATGTCTGAAAAAGCTGTTACATATTCCAGTTTTCTTTTTTCACTGTGTAAATGATTTATTTTTCTGGAGTAAGTTTTTGGAGTAATCTGCTTTTGATAATTTGTTCTTCCATGGTATTTTATGAGTTCTACTATAACTATCTCTTCGCTGTTGGTTGGTTCAGTTAATGTTTTCAAATTATACCCAATATACTAAGATATAGAATATGTAATATCGTAGGAGTCAAAGTCATTGTTCACGTTAGAGATTGAAACAATACATTAGATGTTGACATCTACTCTACTTAATCTAGCAGCTTACCCATTGAACTGGTCACATATCATCTCTATTAAAATTTGTATCATTTATCATTTATATATAATACCCAAAAAGTAATATGTGTATACGGACCCAAAAATTATAAACAAAGGGTACATCCAAAATGAATGCTGGTAGTCAGATTCAGATTCTCTTGATTCTATCTGACTCCGAGCGGCAGGTAGGATATGTCCATTATGAACACTGGTTTTCCGCACCGACAATGTAGAGTGTTGACTGATCAGTGTAGCATGGAACTTACGAAAGCACAGGCTGCAGTTCTTTTGTTGCTTAGTGACAATGTTAAAACCAATCAGAAGGGAAACACATCCACTTAATAAGTTAAGGCATATTTACAAGGAATACAAACACCTTTTTCTGCATATACTTGACACAGCTGCAATTTATTTGATGTTTTATTTTACGTACAGTATCATGACTACTAGAGGTGTGTGCTAATAATTATTTGAACTGCATCACTTGTTCAATTCTTTTGCAAAAAATGTTAATTAATCTTGCAAGCATATATTATAACAATAATAAGCCGTAACAGCCGGAACAGCTGATAATGTGACAATGCGCTTTTTGAGTATGCCAGAAAGGCGTTCTATCGGAAACTTAATTTCACTGTCGAAAGTGCCAATAATTTATACCCAAACCAAGGAGAAATTCAGAAGTTTTGGGGAAATCCACTTTACACACCAGCTGCTCTTAACACCAATGCTGAATGGATAGAAGATACGACGCACAGCTGTCAACACTACCGCACAACTGTCTATGAACCCTTTACCACAGAAGAAGTCTCTAATATCATCAAAGAGCTTCATAACTAAAAATCTCCTGGACCAGACGGAGTTCAAAACTTCTGGCTTAAGAAGTTCTGGAGTGCTTGTCAACAATAATTAATCATGTTATTTCTAATCCATAGGAAATACCATCATTCCTAACTCAGGGAACAACTTGTTTAATACCGAAGGATCAAAATAATACCCAAGATCCAGCCAAATACCGCCCAATTACGTGTCTTCCAACTCTGTATAAATTGGTCACATCCTGTGTAGCCCAGCGTATCGACTCAGTCATTTCTAACCAGGCATACACACAAAAAGGAACCTCTTCACTGCCTTTATTGATTATAAGAAATCCTTTGACTCAGTGCCGCATGAATGGATGGTAGATATATTAAGACTCCAAATACCTGGTGAAAACAATATCGAAACGGAAAATATCGCAATTAACCGCGGCCTATTCCAAGGAGACCCGCGGGTCCATAGTGGTTCTGTCTAGCCATGAACCCACTATCCCAGCAATTGAACTCCACTGACTCAGGTTTTAGCATTAAAACAACAATACTGCAGTGGCGAAGCTTAATAATCTGTTGTATATGGATGATTTGAAACTTATGGCTTCCACTCGAAATCACTTAAATCAAACTGTAGAAACTTTTTCAAATGATATCATTACGCACTTTGGGTTAGACAAATGTTATGTATTAAATATAGTCAAGGGAAAGGTTCAGCCCGGAAGATTCGATATGCAAAATGGCCAAAACATCGAGGCTATGGGCGAAAGTGACATGTATAAATATCTAGGAGTAAAGCAAGTGCGGAAAATGACGCGGAAATGAAAATCGAATTAACATCAGAGTTCAGGGTAAAACAGCTATGCCGCTCACATATTAATAGTAAAAATTTGTTTAAGGCATTAAACAACTATACAAGGATGGTATATGTGATCAAATTGTTACAATAAAAAATTACACAACATCCACGAGAAATAGGGAAATGCTTCTTGTCTAAATTGGAAAGGCATTAGGTAGAATAAAAAAAAGGAATGTAAAAAACTGTAAATTTTATATTAATGATACATATATACAAAAAATAAAATAAATGTTTAAAACATATTAGATAAGCTGGTAGGATGTCACCAATATTAGTCTTAGAAACCTTTGTATGTCCCGTTAGAAGTGGGATGACAAAAACAAAAATAGTGGTATAGTATTTTGGGAAAGAAGCAGATAGGGCTCACAGAAATTCTTGTATGAAATACAAACATAAACACAGGTATAAATAAAAGAATTTTATAAGCACTATAAAAACACAACAAACAATAGATAGCCGAAACAATGTAATGTTTAACTAGTATAGTATTTACTACAAGAAACACTTCACAAATGAACATTGTATTTAAAGAATATTTTTTAAAATAGACATATTCAAAATTTGTACCATTGTAGTGAAAACAAGCTTCGTACTAAGTTTCCAGATCATTGAACACATTTACAAAGTGGTTTCTATGATTAGGTACCGAAAATAAGTATTTATTATATTATAAATTATTTGTGTATAATAAACTGGTATTGCACACTGTTCTGGCAAAGTTTGATGTCCAATTTAGACTGTAGGTACATAGGAGATCCTAGTTATATTCTCAATATAGTCAAAAGAGCTATGTATTTTTAAAAAATATTCAAAACCTTTAAGTTGACCTAGTCTATTCAAAAAGTTATATCAAATGAGTGGGGTCATTAAAGCATGCAGTCTACCCTAAGTATGCTGTCTATATGTGCATAAAGCTCTATTATAGAGTGCAGTCTACCAATCGCAATCTGTAAATTCCTTAAGGATTTACACAAAATAATAAAATGCGAGAAACCTTTTGTAGAAAAAAATATGTGTTCACTAATAATAAACATTTGAAGGAAAAGAAATGTAAAATGAAAGAGGACTCATATGGCCTAATTATTATTAAAGTTGAGCATCACCTGGTTCCTCAAGACATCCATATGGTTGAAGAGATGTCACAGTACACTCCTCTAATAAATTCATGTATCATAGATAGTAAAGAATCAAGGTTAGTGTATATTCCAGAAAATATTTATTATTGAGGTCTACCTGACTATATACAGGTAGACCTCATCACTTGGTAGACCACATGAGAAACTCTACAGTAGACTGCAGAGTATAGTGGCACCAAATGCGTAGTCAGTAAAACTAGGGACAGTATCAAGTGGTTGAAGTTGTCTTGTTACCTTATTGTACCTTAAGTCCCATGAAGTAACACAGTATAATACCAAAACCAATAGGGATCAAATTACTATATGTGTACATAAAAATTTATAGTTGCAAATAAAGATTTCCTAATAAACAAAAACTTTTACAAAAATATAATTAGGCTGAATAAAAAAGAGAAGACACTACAGCACATGGAAGATATCTATTAAAAAATGAAGAACAAGAAAAAGGAGAAATAAGGAAAACATAAAAAGATAATGGAAATTGTTAAAACATTGCCAAAATAATTTCAAACACTAATACAAATAATATGTGTACAGTTTGTCCCAAACCCTTTTTTCAGTGCGTCACTAATTTTGACGTCATATAGGATTTTAAGAATGTCGAGAATTATTGCATGACATTTTAGTTAAATCTGACTATGACTCTATTTTTTTTAATGCATAGCAGTTTGTCATAATTCTATTCTATTCTGTTCTATTTTATACATTCCATGGAAAGTGCTTAATTAGCTAAGATTTGTTTATGGATTTATTATTATTTATTACAAACACTAGGGAATTGGAAGGTTTGTTTATTTAAAATAACGCTTCCTCCTAGAATCTTTTAAGAGTTGACTGCAAGGTAAAAAAAAATTACTGACAATTGCAAGGCATCAAAGTAAACATTCCTGCGATAAAATAATATCGATTTAAATCAGTCATATTTGGATAAGGAATTTTCTGATAAGTTTGTGTGGCAGCCAATAGTTTAATTTTGTGAAGAGTTGTCATTAAATAGTGGAAATAGTTTAAATAGTGAAGCAGTTGATTTTTGAGTTATTCTACCAGATTTGGTGTGCAAATGAAAGAAGGTAATAAAGTTTAGTTAAAAAAACAATATAAATAGTTTAAATAGTGAAGCAGTTGATTCTTGAGTTAATCTACCAGTTCCGATATCCAGATGAAATCGTGTTAATGGAGTTTAGTTAAAAAACAAGATACAGAATGTAAGTTTACCTTCTTTTTTATGAATAACAAAAATGAATATTATATTTCAAACAATCTATAATCCCATTCAGAATCTGATTCTTGAAAATCAATGATTACACTAGATATGTGGCTGGTATCAATTATATCCTACATTTCAAGAAAATGCCGTGGTTCTAAAAAGAACCGTTTTAATACATATAAATATCCATAAAGGTATTAGTTTAAGATATTTCCTCAATATCATTCCGGAATTCACAATCTGATTCGCGAGCGACAGAAACTGAAATAAAGATAACTCAGCCTCCTTTTCTAATTGAAACTAATTTAATAATTTTAATATTAGTCTTTTTTCATTCTCGGTATATCTCGGAATATTTAAAATATTTTTATGACAATAAATACAGAATTTAATTTTCACTGTAGTTAAAATGTCTGAAAATACTAACCTGGAATGGCAATTATCATTTTATCAGTTGTTGTGAAAGTACTGTCACTGTCATTATCAAGATCATCTGTGTCAAATTATATTTATATGCATAATTGATTGGATATCTATTTAGCATATTCTAAACTCCAACCAATTATACGTTCGTAAGTAGAATTCGCTTTAATATGCGAATACCCGTAAACGATACCTAATTTTCTAATTTCTATGTATAATAATAAGCGACTCACGTTTTTTTCTGTCACTTCTAGCTTAATGCGTTAGAGAGAATTCGAACAACTATGACGCACTGAAAAAAGGGTTTGGGACGGACCGTAGCTGTCATCATCTCCTGAGTTAGAGACACATTCTTGATGCTTTATGGACCTATAGGAATCTTAATAGATGAAGAAAGGCACCCAACTGAAGAAAATGCTAAGAAGACTTCTTATTTAAAGCACATTCTTAAAATATATCAGATTAGCATATCTCTTTATGATTATATATATTTATATAATGATCAAACTATGTTAGCAACAGTAAAATTGGTTTAAGCTTTTCAATTCAAGTTTCCCACAGTATAAAATTGTTTTTATGCAAATATCTGGAAAGTTTCTCTGTCTGTGTTAACTATATTAATCACAAAACTGCTGATTTCTTTAGTAATATGAATAAATCTAAACACAACTAAAATAATATTGAATGATAATTATTTAAATTAAGATTTAAACATGTTATCTGGATATCTGGAAACATTCTATGTTACAATTTCAAAATAAAACTGTGTAGATGTGATAATTTCTGTAAAAACTGACATATTAGGTAAACAGTGTAACATTCAGTTTGCTGCTAATATAAATTCCAATAAACGAAGATTTAGTGGCAATAAATTTTCAGATTTAACGAGCTGCAGTGACTATGATGCGAAAATGTATATTTTTTAGGTCAATATGAGTCATCATATCAGAAAAAAGCTCAATTTGTGGCAAACAAATATTACCTAATTATTCACTCCAAAATAGGCAATTGTCCTAGCACTTGGTCACTTTAAAAACATGTGATGAGTGAAGTTGATACCCACATAATTTAGAAATGTAAATAAAGTTTAATTTATCCAGCTCATGGAAAAACAAAACTTAAGGCACACTTTCATTATATTTTTGCGGAACTTCCGCGACGAAAACTGATTCCTCTGGTCGGTGTTTTCATTGAAAATACAATGAGTAAATAAATTGTGTCTATTTAACGTAAATACAATCTAAAAATAACTTGGTCTTGTCTTGCAGTTGTAGGAGAACAGATTCACAACACCCACACCAAGACAATTTTATAAAATAAAATGTGATATTCTGTATCAAACTTACCTAAATAACATTTATATAGGTCACTTGAAACACAAAAAACACCAATAAATCACAGTATTTTGAGGAAAACGAGTACTTTTAGTTCAGATTGTTTTATTATTTCATGGTTATGACAAAATTCACTGTCAATGTGTATTCACCAAGTTCACCAGAAGATGCCGCTTTTAAGAATATGTACTTTGACGTTCACGGCGGGATTTTCAACTTGTGTCAGCTACTAGCATCAAAATTTGAAGTAGAAAAACAATAACATTTGATGAACTTCTTGACATAGTTTTTTATACGAAGAAATGACTTGTGCTCGTTGCGGCTATGGAGTTCTTAAAGCAGAAGATCAAATTGTAATGACTAAAGTATGGCATAAATGTTGTTTCCGATGTTGTAAGTTGCTTAATCTCATCCTAACTTTAAACAATTCAGTGAAAGGTATTCTTCTTAATTGCCTAATTAACTAACTAACGTAACAATAAATAAATCAATACTTTCACAACCTTTCACTTTTTGCTAAATATGTATTCATTCGGGATAAAATATGGCGTTAGTGAGCAGCTAAAGTTTCGGCTTTAACAGACAGAGGACGCAGCAAATAGTCAACAATAGATATTTGAATTATTTAAAAGTAGAATGTTTTTATTCTTATTATATTCGTGTGTTATTAAATTGACTAACAGCTGCCAAATGTAAAATCTTAACTTGTTTTAAAATTTTGTTTTGTCTAGTATCCTGTATTTGACACCAAATAACTCTTAGTTTTGGTTCTAGATGTCGCTACTATAGGTAATATCGCAAATAATTTGAACAATTTCTATTGAATTCGAAAATGAATTTTTCCAGTTTTCCTATTTTTTTTGCTTTCAAAAATATTGAAATGCTCATTCTTAAATAAACCTTAAACTATATACAATATTTTACGGAGATGACATTCACAAATTTAAAACATTTTTCATGTAAAGACAGACTTGTGACATTTATTTATTAATTCCTCCTAAAATTTTTAGTAACATATTTCTTATCTAGGTAATTGCGGTAATATCTTGAGTACCAGCTCAGCGAGGTTTTTCCAAGGGGATCTATTTTGCGAGAGATGTCATGGCTTTGTCCTGAATGACCTAGAAAACTTTACATCCAATCCCGAATGCAGGCCCCATAAAGCAGTATCTTTACCCAGTTGTATATGCACAGACGATGAGAAACAAATGAAAATCAAAACAGTGCCTTCAGTGAAGAGCCACAAGTCGAATGATATTGAGATTTCAGCAGAAGCAAAAGTAAATAGACAAAATTAACAAAATACCCATTGATCTATATTTTTAGATAACAAATTGTTTTAGCAAGGTGTATTAGAGAAACCTAAATCTTGTAGTTGTCTACCAGATATTAGTAAAGATAGATACCATTGCTTTGATTTTCCTCTTCCAAGAGAGGTAGCAAACTATTTAAACAGAAACGGCATGAAAAAGAAAGACATACATGAGTAAATACGAATTTTTTTTCAATTAAGTCAATTTCAACGTTTTTATATCTATTACAGGTATCATAAGGCAGGTTATTTAGAAGAAACACCATTTTCAATTCCGAGGATGGCTAAAAGGTGTCCAAGAATCACTGTTCGTACTTTATCACCACCAAGACGTGGTTGTTGCTTTAGGAGACATAATGCTCCTCCACGTTTGTTTGTTCAGTGTGATCGTTATACGGATCCAACAAGACCAGTTAGTTGTTGTCATAATCGTAGAAATTCTCCACGTAGAAGGTACCGTATATTAAATACTAATTTATACTAAATTATACTAAAGACTGTTTAGCCCATATTATAACAGACATTTTTTGTTCAATTCTTGTTTCTTGTTTCTTTGTGAGTTCTGCTGGTGTATCGGCCTAGGTGTTAGCTAGTTTTGTGAAGATATTTTCTTCGTCCGGTGTAGGATCATAGTCTCTATCTTCAATACTATCGTCGCTATCAAATGGATTTTCTAACCTCTCTAGATCATCTTCCGTATCACTTAAATCACTGAAGTCACTTTTATTTATAATTTACTCCAATTCGTTCTCAGTAAGATGACGCTTTATATTAACATTTGATTTTGCAGACATCTTATTTATACGTTAATAATAATAACACGCCACAATTACGTACAAATCTTTTTACGCGAATACTAACCACACGCATCTTTTACGTACAGACTGTTTTAAGTACTACGGTTAAAGCCTAACCCAAACTAAAATAAAAGCGAGTATTTATTTGTTTCATTTCTGAAACCCATTTTACGAATGAGTCATATATTAGATTTAGGGGTTACAAAACTTATCATACTACTCAACCTGATAATGCAGCCAAAGGAGGTAGTGCAGTAATAATCAAGGAAAATATTATGCACTATCAGGAAATTGGATACAGAACAAAAGAATTTCAGGCCACATCAGTAAAAATTAAATGTAAAAATTATGAGGTAATCGTCACAGCAGTTTACTCTCCGCCAAGACATGCCATCAAGAAAAATCAATACGTAGATTTCCTGACCAGTCAAGGACATAGATTTATCCTTGGAGGAGACTTCAATGCAAAACATACGCATTGGGGGTTACGACTGACTACAACCAAAGGGAAAGAACTTTTAGAAGCAATGAAATACATAAAATGCGACTCAGTATCAACGGGAAAGTCAACATACTGGCCTACTGACACAATTAAATTCCAGACCTTATCGACTTCTTTGTAGTTAGAAATATTTCTACAAATTACATAGAGATAGAAGAGGCATTGGATATGACCTCGGACCATTCTCCAATTATTCTCACACTCAGTGACACTGTTATCAAAAAAGAAAGCCCTCTAGACTTGTTAACAAAAATACTGATTGGAAAAGTTTCCAGATAGACCTTGAAGAGAAGATTAACCTCTCAGTGCCATTAAGAACCATTGATCAACTAGAAGCAGAAGTAGAATTACTCAATAAAGGGAAATAACTACCCGAAAGAAATCAGAGAAATGATAACCGAAAAAAGAAAGCTAAGACGCAAGTGGCATCAGTCTAGAGCACCAGTTGATAAAACTAGATTAAATAATGCCACACAAAAATTAAAAAGAGAAATACAAAAAATTAAAAACGAATCGGTTAACATTTACCTAAGTGAACTACCAAATGATAGCGCTACTGATTACTCTTTGTGGAAGGCTACTAAACGATTAAAAAGGCCAATCTTACAGTATCCACCAATTAGAAATACTAATGGTAGCTGGGCAAGAAGCAATATACAAAAGACCAACAGGTTTGCTGACCACCTAGAAAATACTTTTTAACCAAATGAAGAACAAGAAAGAATAAACTGGGAGCTCCCTGATCAAGACGAAATGGAGATTAGCCTTGTAACTCCAAAAGAAGTATATATGGAAATAAAAGAAAATATAAATCTAAAGAAAGCTCCTGGATTTGATCTAATTACTGGGGAAGTGTTAAAGCAACTTCCAAGGAAAGCTATTATAAAATTAACACATCTTATAAACGCTTCCTTTAGGTTGAGGTACGTACCAAAGATATGGAAGGTGGCAGAAATTATCATGACACTAAAACCAGGAAAACCTCCACAAGAAGCTTCTTCATATAGGCCTATTTCACTGTTACCTGTCATGTCTAAATTATACGAAAAATTATTCTTGAAGAGACTAATTCCTAATTATCAGTTTGGGTTTAAAGCAAGCCACTCAACGATAGATCAGGTGCATAGAATAACAGATATCATAGAAAAAGCTCTAGAAGAAGGAAAGTTTGTTCCGCAATTTTCCTCGATGTAGCGCAGGCTTTTGACAAGGTGTGGCATGACGGACTGTATCATAAAATGAGATGCTACTTACCAAAACAATATTCTGAACTACTAGAATCATACATATCCGACAGATACTTTCGAGTTAAATATGAGGAAGCATATTCAGAATTAAGAGAAGTTAAAGCTGGAGTTCCACAAGGAACTGTTCTGGGGCCAGTGCTATACCTGCTCTATACCAGCGATATTCCATCATTAGAACCTAACACAATTGCGACATTTGCAGACGAAACATGCATTCTAGCAGTCGGACAAAACCACAAGAATGCAGCTACCATGCTACAGAACTCTGTTGAACAAATTAACATCTGGACCAGCCGATGGCGTATCAAATTGAATGAAACAAAATCTGTTCATGTCAATTTTACTAACAAAAGAGAACAACATATCCCAGTACATATAAATAGAAACCAAATACCTTATGCAAATACGGCAAAATATTTGGGTATGACGTTAGATTCCAAGCTACGTTGGAAAGCACATGTTAAGAAAAAAAAGGAGGAATTAGAAGTTAAGTTCAGAAAGATGTACTGGTTGATGGGAAAAAAATCCAATCTGTCTATTTACAACAAATTGCTATTATATAAGCAAGTCCTTAAACCGATATGGACATACGGAATACAGCTATGGGGATGTACAAAAGAAAGCAACATCCAACATATACAACGATATCAGAATAAAGTATTAAGGAACATCGTTAACGCTCCATGGTACTTTAGAAACTGTGATCTTCATCGAGACCTCCAGATGGATACAGTTATCCAGACAATAAGTAAGTTTGCCGAGAGTCATGAACAAAGGCTCTCCAACCACCTGAACGTCGAGGTCATTAAACTCCTAGACAACGCCAAGCAGATAAGAAAATTAAAGAGAACGAAGCCGTTTGATTTAGTGCTATAAATGAGTGAAAGTGAAAAAGCAGAGTAAAGTGCAGCTAAAGTGTACACGTTAGCTAGTAGTACTACAATGTATTAGAACCTAAGGAATATTGCTGAATATAACCTTAGATAAGTTTCTTGTAATATTTATATATAGAACTAACTTGCTTATTGATCATAGTGAATGATCAGATAGCAATAGTCATAAGATTCCTGTTGGAGTTTTATTAAACAAAAAAAAATTGTTTTATTAACCATGAAGTGAGGATAGCATAGGCCACGCGGCTAAGCAGTGCCACGTTTAGTTTTCTTTCAGTAGCTGTCATACCATGGTCATACTAAATGTATCTTCTTCTTCAAGTGCCATCTCCGCGGCAGAGGTCGGCAATCATCATAGGTATTCGGACATTTGAGACAGCTGCTCTGAAAATTTATTTGATGTATATCCGTACCACTCTCTCAGGTTGCGCAGCCATGACATTCTACGCCTCCCTATGCTTCTCTTTCCTTGGATCTTTCCCTGCATAATAAGTTGGAGCAAGATGTATTTCTCTCCACGTGTAATATGTCCGAGATATTCTAATTTTCTTGTTTTTATTGTATTTAAAATTTCCATTCCTTTATTCATCCTTTCCAGAACCTCTTTGTTTGTGACATGTTCTGTCCACGATATTTTTAGTATTCTTCTGTACACCCACAGCTCGAATAATTGCAGTTTTTTTTATTGATGTCGCATTTAAGGTCCAAGATTCCATTCCATAAAATAAAGTCGAAAAAACATAGCACCTCGCCAACCTAACTTTTAGTTCCAGTTTTAAATCCCTGGTACATAGCACTCTTCTCATTTTGTTGAAATTTGCTCTAGCCTTTTCTGCTTTTATTTTGATTTCCTGATTGTAATCATTTATGGAGTTGATCATTATCCCCAGATATGCATGTTTGTCCACTTGTTCGAGGTTGGTTCCGTTTATTAGAAGATTCTCGTTATTTCTTTGAGTTTTCGATATTCTCATAAATTTCGTCTTCTTGACATTCATTGTTAGACCATACTCTTTTCTATACTCTGCTATTCTGGTCACCAGTCTCTGAAGATCTTCAATGTTTTCGGCTAAGGTCACAGTGTTGTCCGTATATCTAATGTTGTTAATGGGAACTCCATTTACCTTTATTCCAGCTGATTCCCCGTAAAGAGCTTTTTTCAGGATCTCTTTGGAGTAGGCATTAAAAATAATTGGCGACAATACGCATCCCTTCCTCACTCCACATCTAATTTCGATTCCTTTTGACAGCTGTTCGTTGACACGTACTTTTACACGCTGTTTATAGTATAAATTTTATATTATTCTGAGGTCGTTGTAGTCAATCTTCTTTGAATTCAGGAAATTCATTAATTGTTTATGTCGTACTTTATCGAATACTTTATTATAGTCAATAAAACATGCGTATATATCTTGATTGACGTCCATTCATATTTGTATCAGTACATTCAGTGAAAAAAGAGCTTCACGCGTTCCTAGGCCTTTGCGAAAAGGGTTTGTGATATATTTGGTTATGGATGACTTTAAGTAGTAACTTTAGCATTTGAGACATCAAGCTAATGGTGCGGTAATCGCTGCATTCTCTTGCGTTTTTCTTTTTAGTGAGACAAATAAAAATTGATGTTAACCACTCTTTGGGTAATACACCTGAACTATAAATTTGGTTCAAGAGTGTCACTAAAACATCAATGTGCTTTTCGTCTAGAATTTTTAGGACTGCTATAGGAAGCATGTCAGGTCCAGGGCTTTTCCCACTCTTCATTGTTTTTAATGCGTGTAATATTTCGTAACTTTCGATGTAAGTTCTATGTGCTCCAGATCTCCTCTTTCATAATCGAACAATTCGTCAATATATTCTGCTCATCTTTGTACTTTCTCGTCCGTATGTGTTATAGTAGTCCCGTGTCTATCCGGAATTGCATGAGTGGGATTTTGTTTTCTTAGTCCTGCCAGTTCTTTAACTTTTTTGTGTAGGTTAAACAGATCATATTTATTTAGAAGGTGTTCTATCTCTT